GGGATTGGTCCTGCTTTGAGCAGGGGGTTGGACTAGATGACCACCTGAGGTCTCTTCCAACCCTGATATTCTATGATTCTATGAAATGCTTTGATCTGTTCAGTAGAAAAGCATACTCCTCAGCCACTCTACAATTTCGTATCACCAACTACCAGTCCCTCACGGCAAGGTATGATTACATAAACTACTCTAAGCTGAATGACTTTATTGAAAAAATGCCAGAAGCACATCATGGCTCATTCAGGGCCATTATCCAGGAGGGCCAATTAGTGGCAAAGACATTGCTGCAATCTGCCCTTGACATGGCAGCTAGGTCTATCTCTACAACTGAGGTGATGCAACGAGTGTCCTGGCTTCATTTGTCGGGATTCCCAAAAGAGGTGCAGTCCACGGTTGAGGACCTTCTATTTGAGGGCACGAAGCTCTTTGCTGAGAAAACTGCCGCCTCCCTTTATATCCTGAAGGATTCCAAGGCTACCCTCCTGTCACTGGGTATCTATACACTGGGACAAAAGAGACTATTTAGTCCCCAATCCAAGCATAGACCATGCATGTCTCAATACCAACCTCCGCTCCACTATAAGCTGCAAATAAAGAAAGGGAAATTTCCTAAACAGAAAACATCTGGCCCACAATCTTCATACCAGCCCTCTACAGCTAAACACCACTTTTGATGGGCAGGTCAAGGCACCATCAGACCACTCCCCCCAACTGACACAGCCGATCATTGTTCCACACCCATTTAGCCACTGATTGGCAGTGTTCCGCAGTGCCTGGAAATGCATAACATCAGACCAATGAGACTGTCTGAACTGGGTACTCCATTCAGTTTTACCTCCTGATCCCCTCACAACCTTCTTCCTCATCCCTCTTCAGGGACCCTTCTCACGAGAGTTTACTATGACACAAGATAGGTGGCTTCCTCCAGCTGGGAGCCATAGAACTAGTACCTCAACATCTATGAGGGAAGGGGTTCTACTCTCGTTATTTCCTAATACCCAAAAGAAAGGGAGGTTGGAGACCCATACTAGACTTCAGAGCTCTCAACAAGTTTGTTAAGGCTCAAAAATTCAAGATGGTCACCTTATTGACGATCATTTTAGCATTGGAACAGAGAGACTGGTTTTCAGCCCTCAACCGCTAGGACATCTATTTTCACATCTCGATCTGCCAGCTCACAGACAATTTCTCAGATTCACTCTGGGACACGACCACTACCAATAGACCCTTTGGTCTATCATTAGCCCCGAGAGTATTTTCCAAGGTTCTCTCAGTGGTGGCCACTCATTTATGCACTCAAGGGATAATGATTTATCCATACCTGGATGATTATCTCCTCAGAGCCCGATCTCTCTGGGAAGCTCACCAAGTCACCGACACTACGATACGTTTGTTTATAGACCTGGGTCTACAGATCAACACCCAAGATGTCAACCCTCACTCCAGTGCAATATCTGGAATTCATAGGGGCTGACCTTGACATGTTAGAGGCCAAAGCCCTCTTACCTCAACACAGGTTCCTATCCTTAGTCTTACTCATAGACACCATTCAAAGCAGTCCACAAATACTGGTCAGGCTTTGCCTCCAACTCTTCAGACATATGGCAGGGGCATGGCGATGATACCTCATGCCAGGCTTCACATGCAATGCCTCCAAATATGGTTTGGCTCTGTTTACAGACCGAACAAGGACACGTTGTCACTACCCACCAGGATCAAAAACTCCTTAAACTGGTGGAAGGACCCAGCCAATGTTTGCAAAGGGATCCCCTTCTTGAAAACATCACGGGCATTGCTCCTTGCCACCAAGACATCACTCATAGGTTGGGGCGTGCACCTAAATGGCCTCAGGCCACAAGGCAAATGGTCGCCCACGAAGATATCCTTCCACATCAATCTCCTGAAGCTGAGAGTGGTCAGAATGCCTGTACCCATTTCCTTCTACTGATCACACACACAGATCCTACGTACTACATCAATTGGCAGAGGGGAGCCAGATCGCCCTTCCTTTGCGCAGAAGCTGTGAGATTATAGATTTGGAAATCTCCCACGACGGTACACTGTCTGCAGAATACCTCCAGGTACACACAACTCGGTAGCGGACAGTATCAGTTGCAAATTCCCACACGACCATGAGTGGGAGATGCACCATATAGAGGTACTTCATGACCTATTCAGACGATGGGGGACACTGTCTACAGATCTGTTCGCCATTCAGCTGAACAAGAAGTGTCTATGCTACTGCTCCAGACTGGGGATGGGATAACACTCCTTAGGTGATGCTCTCCTCCTCCCCTGGGACAGGGACCTTTTTCTACACCTTCTCTCCATTTCCCTTACTGTCAAAGGTCCTGCTGAAAATAAAAAGGGGTGGAGCTCGTGTCATTCTGAGTGCTCCTACTTAGCTGAGACAGATGTGGTACCCTTACCTCTCTCAGCTTGCAACATGTCTGCTGATCTCTCTCACGGCGATTCCGCACCTCCTCTCACGGAGCGAAGGACATACCCTACATCCCAACCTGGGAATCCTCTGCCTCAAAGCATGGCTCCTGTTTGGTTCCAACACCTAGAAAGCTTCTGTTCAAGAGACATGATGCACTTACCTGCAGAAATGGTCCAGGTTTCAGATTTGGTGCACGTGCCAACAAATCTTCCCAGCATCTGCAATTCTTCTACATATCCTAGACTATGCTTTTAACCCTAAAATGATACAGACTATCTCTAAGCTCTCTCAGGGTCCACCTAGCGGCTATTAAAGCCTTTCACCAACCTGTAGGGGAGTACTCAGTGCTGTCACACCTAACTACAAAAAGGTTCCTCAGGGGCATAGTAAACTTATTCCCTCAACTTCGGCTTCCTGCCGCCACATGGGACCTGAATCTTGTACTTTAGGGACTGACTAGGCTCCCCTTCGAAACCATGGACACCTGTTCACTAACGTACCTATCCTGGTAGTGGCCTTCCTGGTAGTGATTATCTTGACCAGGAGAATAGGAGAGATAGTAGCTCAGATGACGCATACTCCCTACATGGTATTGTTCCGGTTAAAGTTATGCTCAGACTGCATCCAAAATTCATCCCTAAGGTAACCTCCTACTTTCACATCAGTTGATTCACCTTCCAATCTTCTACTCCAAGCCTCACCAAGACAACAGGGAGGCTATATTGTGTACCTGGATGTCAGGAGAGCCCTGGCCTTCTACCTGGACAGGACAAAGGCCTTCAGGAACTCCCCTAGGCTCTTCCTCTGCACAGCGGAAAGTTCCAAGGGCTCAGCAATATCAGCCCAAAGACTTTCCAAGTGGGTCTCGAACTGTATCAGACTGTTACCAAGTCCGTCATATGACCCCTCCAGATGCCATTCATACACACTCAACAAGGTCAATCTCCTCATCCGTTGCCTTCTTCAAGGATGTCATTATCTCAGAGATCAGGAGAGCAGCAACATAAGCATCAGTCCACACTTTCGCAGAACACTGTGCCATCGCTGAGGACTCTGCCTTTGAGCCGTCTTCTGCTCCATGGTGCTGTCATCTGTAACAGATTCAACTCTGAAGTCCTGACCTCCAGAAGGGATATTGCTTGGGAACAGCCATAGGGACACTACTGGAAGAAGAAATGACTCACCTTGTGCAGTAATGATGATTCTTCGAGACCTGTGTTCCTATGGGTGCTCCACAACCCATTCTCCTTTCCTCTAATTCAAAGTTCTTGTTTTGACTCTGTGGTAGAGAAGGAACTGGGGAGGGTTAGCCTGCATGCGCTGGTTAGCCTCATGGCACAGCACAAGAAAAGACAGCACATGTGCGGGCCCAAAGGACACTGCTACAAAAGTTCTCCCATCATCAGCACAGGGACGCAAGAATACCTACAGTGGAGCACCCATAGGGGGGAAACATCTTGTTACCTGCACAAGGTGAGTAACTTCTTCTTTGTCCTTTGTTCAGACAATGAAAATAAAATAGAGAAGACGTGTTGTACTGTGTATTCTTGGATGGCATTGTTAGCAGCTTAAAAGTTCTTCATAGTTCTCTTTGGATGCTATGAGTCAACAGCAGCAGTAGGAAGGCATTTTTCCCTGTATGGATGCTTGTTAGACATTGATGTCCTTGGGTGAACATGAGATGTCATCTTACATTAATATTAATTTTAATCTTCTTATTTTTTCTCTCTTCTTGCACTATGTCGTGGTGGACCTAAAAGTTAAAATCTGTCTGTAGTATATCCAAGGTGAAGTGCTTCAATCACTTCTTTAAATTGCTCATTGTGTGCTACATTAAAGGTGATATTGTCATAAAAATTGCAACTCTTATCAAGTTAAGTCTTTGACTTTTAGTTCTTATGGTGTAATCACCAAACGAACCCCAGAAGTTGTCAAAGAATAAAGATAAGCAGGAACTACTCTTCAGTTAAGCTGCTGTGGAAGCTGGAAGGCATGTAACAGAGACTTAATTTATCATTAGTGCTAGATTTTGATAACGATGGCACTGAAATGTTTCTTTTGCAGGAACATCATACCCACCAATATTCTGGTCTTCCACTTAGTTGATAGTTTCATTCATTGGTGCATTTTATCTTGAAGATGAATGCAGAGAAACAGACTTTCTGAAACGAGCCTGGATCCTTTCAGTGCTTACCAAAAACAAACTTCAATTTAGTGTGCTTTGGGCAAATGAGATCTTAATATTGCTGTGGAAAGAACATTGCAGTAATGCAGTTCTGCTTGCAGGAATTCTCAATAAAACAAGTTTAAAGGACTTAAAAGTAAACATACAACTTCAGAACTTAATAGTGCTGTGAAATGAGTTTATGTACAGTGCTGACTGGATTATGGATCTCCCATATTTATTTATATATAAAATATCTGATCTTTGTTATATTGTAAGCTTCTCTGGGTTATATATTCATTTGGTTGACTTGTACAATAAATTGCAGTCATGTAGCTACTTGATTTTGAATTCACTGTTTTGTGAAGAAAATTTAAATATTTTTCTTTTCAGCTCCATTTACCTCTCAATTCTCCTTTACCTGGAAGTGAATTGACTAAGGAACCTTTTCGCTGGGATCAGAGACTATTTGCTTTAGTTCTGCGTTTGCCTGGCATCACAACTCCAGAATCAGAGCAGATAGCAGGTGTGCCCGTTGATGACTCAGCAATCACACCTATGTGTGAAGTCACAGGAGGTGAGTGCCTTAGCTTCACTTGACAAAGTAGATCTTTCAGAAAAGTGATTTTAGCATATAGCTCAGTTGTATTAGATAGTATTTGAAAATTTCTGACTCCTTTGTTTAATCTCTTTAAAACCCTGGGCACAATGGAGCTACATATTACAGCTCTCTTAAGACACATAAGTACTAAAATTACAAATAAATTCATCTTAATAGTCTTGAAAGGATGTGCATTTGCTTTCTTCAGCAATTTTGGCCAGAAGGGGGAAAATATACTTCGTGTTTTAGGCACTCAGCCAGAAGTCTTAAGAATCATGAAACCTGCTCGATAGTGAGATAGTGTTCAGTTTGCTGGCACGGGACATGCCAGCATTTGAAGGCCATGGAATGTGTTTTCTTTTGAGAACTTATAAATATTTCTTAAATTAAGAATATTTTTGGACAAATGTCTGCACTTTCCCTTTTCCTCCACTGTGTCTCGTGTTCTCTTGTAATCGCTCATGATTATCTGTCTCGTTTCGATTGTAAACTTCTCTGGTACAGTCCAGAAGTTGTCTTGTCTATAGAGTACCATGAACACACACCAAGTATTTTAAAAAAATAAATTAAAAAATCCATTTGATAGTAATTGGGGTGGGAGAAGAGGGAGAAAAGGAAAGAATTTAAAGGTGTAAAAGAAACTTCAAGCAGATGTGATCCCCAACTTCTCAGAATGTAAAGCAGATGCCTCAACCACTGGATTAAACAGGCTTTTTGATTCATTTAAAAGGTGTTGAAGTGTGCCACAAGGGGGAGCTCACATTCCAAGAATGCAATAAAGACCTTAAGTTAACAAGGAAATTCTTAAAATGTTAAAGGAAATAAAGTTAAAACAAAGTATGTTTCTTAGTTGTTACCAAGATGCATGCAGAACTTTATTAATGAAATCATTTAATAGACTGTCTTGCTGCTTCAATGAAGTGACATGTTTTCTTTGTAACTTGTTTATATATTTCTCCATAACTAGATCAGCAAAAATCATAAGTCAGCCCTTCTAGTTTCTTGATGAGTAAGAATTAAAAGAGCTAAATGTCAGCAGCTTGACTAAGGGATGACTAAGAGGAGACATAAGTCTAAAAATACTTGCTAGGCATAATCTCCAAAGTAGAACAGAAAATACATAGTGATACACAGAGGTATAACTAGGAGTAATAAAATGAAATTATGGAAGGAAAAACATTTACAGATGTATTAGGCTGTGCAGTGTCTACCAAGGGAAGTTATGGACTCACCAGTGTTTTTTACGTCCTTGTGTGGAATACATTTTGTTATGTGCACCAATATGGAGGTGATGTGTGGTGGGGGTGGGGCCGAGGGGTTCAGAGTGTGGGAGGGGGCTCAGGGCTGGGGCAGAGGGTTGGGGTGGGATGGTGGTTCTGGGATGGGGCCAGGGATGAGAGGATTGGAGTATGGGAGGGGGCTCAGGGCTAGGTCAGAGGTTTGGGGAGTGGGGGGATGGGGGTTCTGGTTGGGGGAGTGGGCTCTGGGATTGGGCAGGGGATGAGGGGGCTCAGGGCTGGGGCAAAGGGTTGGATGCAGGGGGTGAGGGCTCCGGGTAGGGACGAAGGCTCTGTGGTGGGGCCAGGGATGAGGAGTTTGGGGTGCAGGCTGCCCCGGGGCTGCGGTGGGGAGAGAGGACTCCCCCAGCCCTCTCTCGCTGCAGCAGCCTGGGGCTGGGTGAGAGGGGCCTCTCCCTGGCCGCGGCAGTTCTGGCTTGGCTGGGCTGGGCCGGGCCTGGCCTGGCCCAGGCCGGGGGAGGGGCTCCTCTCCCTGGCAGCTCTGGCGGACCCGGGGAGGGGCTCCTCTCTTGGCAGCTCCAGCTGGGCCGGGGTAGGGGCACTTCTCCCCACCTGCACGGCCCTTGATAGCCTGCTGCATGGCTGCGCAGCTTACAGGGAACTTAGGATGCCCCCATGGGAAAACGGACTTAAAATATAGTGTAGGAGAAAATCCTGCATTGATGTGGACTGCATGACCTTATAAGTCTCTTTCCATTGCTATCTTGAGCATTTTAACAGAACATAAAATCATACTAGTTGTGCTATACCTTTTAAAAGGATTCAGTGCAATATTTAATGGTATTAGGGCAATACCTCAGGTTCCCCATCAGGATGTAATAGAAGTACTCTTTTTTTGGCGTTGAGACATTGATACAAAGAGCACAGCAGGGCATTATTTGTCATTTGGATCATTTCCTTACATTGACAAACACAATCCTTACTTATATTGACAAACACAATCTATGAAGACATCTATTCTATACACACAAAATTTGTTACTTTAAGTAATTGTATAGTTTGCTGATACTTTTTTGATTTTTCTAATTACTATGTGATTGGTTATACAGTAGTTACCAATAAGATATTTGCTAACAATAATCCACTAACATAGTATCTGAGGTGCTACGCTATTTCCTTATACGGGTACTTCCTTATACAGGCGCTTCATAACTGCAGCACCTCAAATACCATAATGTGGTAGATGTTGATATATGGTGTTATCTGAATGGCCACTGCTTTATAAACAAAAATACTTGCCTGCATGGCCAATACAATTTTGAGAATGTAATAAACATGCAGTATATTGTCAGTTTTAGAATACTTGTTACATTGGGAAAGGATGATAGATGTCTTAAATTAAATGCATTATAGCTAGACTTCTATTTAAATGGATTAGTCTGAAAAAATTTCAAAGCTGAAGGGAGAAATATAAAGTAGTAGACTTGTTCTTGAGACTTTTTCTTTCATCCTAGGTCGCTCGTATTGTGTGTGTTCTCCAAGAATGCTGAATCAGTGTCTTGAGTCACTGGTTCAAAAAGTGCAAAGTGGAGTAGTAATAAACTTTGAAAAATCTGGACCAGATCCTTCACCAACTGAAGGTATTAGAAAAATTCTACATACTTTTGTAACCAATTAGATTTGCACTTGGTATTCAAATTTAACAATTTCCAGAAGTGTACATAGTTTAATTTGGAAGAAGCACTACAGTGTTAGACACCATTGTTCCTTTCTAATGTAATATGGCCACATTCTTGAGTGGATTAAATTTCTGTAGCTTTACTCCTTTTTGTTCTAAATATGAATAACTTGCCTACTTCTAGAACATGTTCATGGAAAATACTAGCTTTTTTCTAACCCTGAAATGTTGTATATTAAAAGTTCATTGGTGTAATTCATATTAGATTAATGTGTGTTAAATCTTCATGCACCAGGAAAATATTTGATTCATCTAGTATTTGTGATGAGGAAAGGAAACTTCAATTGAGTTCTGAAAGTACATCACATAATAGAAGAACTGTTTTTTTTCAGACTCTCATTCAGTAAGCATTCAACAGTGTTACTCAACTCTAAATTAGTTAGCATTCCTGCTGGAAATGCTAAAAATTACTTGGACACTGGTATGTACTATTGTTGTGGTTTCTAATATATTTTTAAGGATATCCCTCTTAAGGTGTATAAAAATCCTTGCACACTCCATATAAAGTGTTTAAATAATTTGAAATACTATATAATTAAATATAGAGTTATGGAGGTAATTTTGTTTTTTGTATAGATGGACAGATGGATATAGCTAGGTCTTTTGGACCCCACCCTTGGCACAGCTGTCACAAACTTATCTATGTCAGACCAAACCCTAAAACTGGAGTTCCCATAGGCCACTGGCCTGTTCCAGAATCCTTTTGGCCAGATCAAAATTCTCCAACATTGGTAAGTACTTGAAGTGAGGGAGAAGTCATTTAACTGCTTCCTGTTCATGGGTTTTAAATCCTGGGCTACCTGGTTCAAATATAAGCACTGTAAAGGAAATTCAGGCTAAAGTCTGAAAGGAAATGCAGCAGACACAGATGTTTCAACTGCTGTGAATAAGATACTGAATGACAATTAACATACTATGTTCATTGTGGAATAATTGCATAAGAGACATCTGCTTTTTTAAGAAACAAACTGCCTGTAAGACTTTTATTGCTAACATCTGAGCACAATGCTATGAACATAAAAACATCTTACTTAAATGTATCTCTTTGGAGTTTCAACAGAGTTCAAACTGAGAATTTTCCCTTAGGACACAATTTAGTATGCAAATGAAGATCCTAGACTGATGCAGGTTCATCTCTTTATCTTGTAAACTATCATATTTAGTCATCCAAAAGACACTATTGCTTGTGAGGGGATGGGGGAGGACCTCTATGTCAATATCTCCTAAATTGGGAAAAGGTGAAGCTCGTGGTAACAGTGCTCTTTCAGTGCAGAAGTGGCAGAGTTGGCCCATATCTCCTGTTTAGTGTAGCAGTGCTTCTAATCTACCACAAATAATAGAAACTTTACCTCAAATTGTAAAAAGTCTTCACTGGCAATACATTAGTTTTCTTTGTGCTCTATTTAATTACGAATAAAAGGATGTACCTGTGCCAATTTGTATTTGTAATGTAGTATAATATAACATTCAACGTTGATTGAAAATATTACAGTTGAACTGATGTAATTTTGGGCTATTTCCTGCTTTATAAGAGGATCTTCACTGTTAGTCTTTGTGCCCTACATCTGATTTATTAAAGTTTACAAACTTAAAGGTGTTCTATGCATTTGGCTTGCACAGAACATGAAGTGCTTCAACTGAGTATAGAAAATTGAAGATTAGTGTGTGTGGGAGTATTTTATTCTTAAATTTAGTTTTTATTTAGTTTGTGTATATTCATTGTGCCCAGTCCAGTAAGACATACACAGCCTTCTGAGCTGTATGGAAGGCCAGCCTATTCTAAAGAAAAATTAATCTCTTGCAGCTGTTAAAATAAAATAAAATACTCTTCCCCCCCCCCCCCCCCCAACATTGTGCACTTGGGTATTATGGAACTGTTTAGTGGGAGAAGAGCTCCTGCAAATGAACTCCCTGTCTCCGGTGCTCCACAATGGGCATACCCCTGGATCTATCTGCCTTTCTTCATTCACCTAAATCTGGGTTTAACACAGTTTTTTGTGAATTACTGCTCTAGGCCCGGGGTTCCCACACTTTCTAGTAGTGCAGCTCCCTTACAGATATTTTAAAACTTGGTGACTCCCTTCAACCAAATTACCTTCCCCTCCTCCTCCCCTTTTTTAAAAATAAAAACTTACTTACTTGGGACAATAGAGTTCGGATGATTTTGCGACTGTATTGAACTACACACAGTTTACTTAATTAGATAATCTGATCTAATCTGGGTTTTTAAAACTAAATTGAAAATATGGATTGCTTGACATGTTTGGACACAGACTAATATTTTAGTGACAAGAATGGGTCTGTTAAATAAAAGTGCTTTGACCAATCTCACATAACACATGCATGGTATGTCTTAACCGACTGCCTATCAGGTTCTTTCTTGCTGACGCGTGGCCTGGTCAGGATCTCCAGTGTCTGGGGCTTTCCTTTGATTCCTTCAATTTGTAATTTTTTCAAAGTTATTCTTGGTGCCTTTTGTATATAGTTCCTGATAGTAAGTTTTAAATAGTTTTATAGTTTTTAGCAGTTTTGTGGTTAGATTTCCCAACTTGGGGACCTTCTCTATCCTAATACTCCCTTGTGATTATTGGGAAGAACTTGGGACTTCAAACTCTGTGTCCTACCCCCATTCTGTCTTCGTCAGCAACAGTGACCAGCTCTGTCTGTAGTGTCTTGGGGAGGCACACGTCGCAGCTAGGTGTATTACCTGCCACTCTTTCCCTAGCCATAGGCATGACATGAGGGAATTCTGACCTAGAAAAGACCTCATGGAGAAGGCCACAAAGCTGGCGTCGGACACAGGCCGAGGCAACCCCCGAACATCAGCCTGAATTGATACAGGGCGCACTTCCTGCCAGAAGGTCTGACTGTTGCAGGGCAATCCATACCCACAGATTTCCCCCCTTCAGCATCTTGTCAGAAAACAGAACACTTGGACAAGCATAAGAGCACCCTCTAATTCTGCTTCGAAGACGTCCAATGCAACTTTGCCTAAATCAAGCAAATCTGCTTGTTCAAACCCTAAAGACTTTGTACATCCTGAGTCCCAGGGCCATGACTCTAAAGCTCATAAATACATGGCTTTATCAATATTGGACTCTGTACCAATCACACCCTCTCCACTGGTACCATCCAAGCAAAAAGACAGGATCCATTGGTTCCAGCATGATTAGCTTCTACCACTTAAGGAACCATCACTTTATCGCACACCGGCCACACGGAGCCTCCTTCCTCCAACCTTGACAGCATAAATGGATTGGACTCCTCGTACTCCAGAGAGATCAGATTTGTACTACGCTGGAGGATATCTTTGCTCTTTCTGAGTCTGTTTCCCCCATCATTGGGACCTTATCTCCTGACTCCACCAGGGGATGTACTTTTGATAGAAGCCTATCTCCTCTTCTATCTGCTAGCGCTGCTTTTCTTCCGCCAAAATTGTCGATTCTGCTGTTGGATCCAGACCCTTTTTTTTCTCTTCCTCAGCAAAATTCAAACCTCTAGAAGAGCTGTCATCTCCTCCAAGAAACGTTAGTCCAGACAGGGGACCCAGAGCCTTCTGGTTCCAACCTCTGCCTCGACATTTGCCTCAGGACCGTTGATACCCCATGCCTTTGAGACCCCCACAACTGCCTCCTGAACCAACGTGCTGGCCATACTGGGGAACCTGGGACCTGTGTGTCAGATATAGAGCCCATGCATTCTGCCAGGAAATCACCTCACCATTCCCTTCTAAGGGAACAGTCAGAGGAGACTCCTGAGACCCCATGGAAGAGGAGGAATATGAAATAGTTCCATCTGTAACAACAATTGCCTTCTTCATCGCCCAATGAAGCAGTCATCATGGCATCTCTGTCCCCTCAGAACAATCATAAACAGATTCACAGCAAAGGGTGGCAGAAAAACTCCAGATCTCCCTAGAGGAGGCCCAGGACCCTCAATACAAACTCCAGGATATCTTACAAACCACCAGCTCCAGTTGTTAAAGCTATTCTGGAACCTGCTAGAGCAGCATGGCAGACATCAACCACATACCCTACTACTCCCAAGAGGGCATAGAGGTATTATTTTCTTCCAGCTAAGGGAGCTGAATTTCTTTTTACCCACTCTGCACCAAATGCTCTGGTCATGAGGGCCATGAAGGTCAAGGAGAGATCTAGACAGCAACATTTTAAACCCACTCCTAACAAGGAGGCTAAACATCTAGACCTGTAGGGAAGGAAGGTTTTCACATCTACTAGCCTTCAGTTTTGTAAAGTGAACCATCAAGTGCTGTTGGCTAAGCACAGCTATCTCAAATGCACAGATTTTGTAGACCAGCTACTACAGCAGGACAGAGCTCACTTCCAGGCTCTTATAGAAGTGTTTAAACTGGTGACCAGAACCACACTTCAGTCAGCGATTGATGCAGCAGACATGTCATCTAGATTGATAGTAATAGCTATTGTGATGCATTGAGAGTTATGGTTGCACACTTCAGGATTTCCCATTGAGGTCCAAATCATTGTGGAAGATTTACCCTCTGAGACCTATTTTTTCAGTGAAGAGACAGATCAGTCCATACATGCTTTAAAGGACTCCAGGGCCACATGCTGCACCCTAGGAACATATACACCTGCCCCAAAAAGGAAATATCACAGGCAGCCTTTCAGACCTAGACTGGCTCCTCAATAGTTGTATCATCAGTGATCTTATGACCTTCCTTGTAAGAGAGACAAGGTACAGAACACTAGTTTCTCTGCACTCCGTATATCTACGACATCATTTCAATCCTATCCCCCAGTGAAAAGATATTTTTGACAGGAGTTTGAGAGCTGCAAACCATTTATGAGGCTGCCACAAACTTGCTTTCCTTGGGACAAGTTTCTAACTATGAGTGACCGAGTAGTTCAGGCTATACTCGGTCCTCAAGCTCCAGTTAAAACTTGTCTTTCCCTCCTGAGGCACATGGCTTCATGTACTTATGCTACTCCATTCACCAGACTCCACCTATGTTCCCTTCAGGTCTGGCTCCAGACAGTGTATTCATCAACCAAACACAGCATGAACACCATGATAACAATTCCTTCCAGAGTAATGTCTTCCCTGATCTGGTGGAAGGATCCCTGTCAGGTATGTGTAGATGTCCCCTCCTGAGAAACCGGGATGCACATCAATGTTCTGGAACTCCAGGCAGTCTGAGAAACTTGAGAGGATTTTCTACAGTTCGTCTGGTCCTGCCATGTCTCAATGTCAGATTACATGACAACCATATTTTACCTGTGTGTAGAAGCAGTCATCCTGTGGAATTGGTGTTTCAAGAATTGAATCATCATGTTGGCAGCTTATCTTCCATGAATTCAAAATGTGTTGGAAGACACCCTCAGCAGGCATTTTGCCATCGATCGCAAGTGGGAATTGCATGATTCGCTAGTAAACAGCATCTTTGCTCAATGAGGGGCCCCCAACCGGGATCTATTTCCTTCTCAAACAAATGAGAGATGTAGCACATACTGCTCCACAGGAGCGCTAGGACTACACTCTCAGGGTAATGCTTTCCTTCTTCCCTAATCAGACCGTCTCAGCTATGCCTTTCCTCCCTAAGCACTCCTTCCTCGGGTCCTGCAGAAAATTCTTTAGGACACGGCAAGTGACATCTTTATAGTCCCTGATTGGTCCAGACAGTTTTGGTTTCCAAAACTCCTACAACTGTCATCTGATTCTCTGATCACCATCCAATCCTTTCCTGATCTCTTGACGCAGGAGAAGGGCAAGATCAAACATCCTAACCCTGAAGTGCTTTTCTAATCTCTTAGCTTTTGGATGGGAATCAACATTAGAACATCACTGCTCTCAAGCTGTACAAACGATCCTTAATAATAGCAGAAAGGTTTCCACTAGGAAATGCTATTCAGCCAAGTGGAAACATTTTTCCATCTGGGTACATAGAATATCAGAGTTGGAAGGGACCTCAGGAGGTCATCTAGTCCAACCCCCTGCTCAAAGCAGGACCAATCCCAAGTTTTGTCCCAGATCCCTAAATGGCCCCTTCAAGGATTGAACTCACGACCCTGGGTTTAGTAGGCTAATGCTCAAACCACTGAGCTATCCCTCCAGAGTCAGTGGATATATCCCTCATTTTGGACTAGCTTTTCTCTCTCAAAACAGCTGGGCTTTCCCAAAGCTCTGTACAAGTTCATCTGGCAGCAGTCAGTGCGTGCCATCCACTATCCGATGGTTGTTCAATTTTCACTCACCTGCTGACTACCACATTCTTAAAGGGACTTATCAGAACTTTTCTGCCAATAAAGGAAACATGTTCCTCATGGGGACTTGTATCTTGTACTTTCAGCACTCCCAAAGCCTCCCTCTGAACCATTATCTACATGTTACATGTGTCACTTATTAGTGAACGTTGATTTCCTTGTGGCCACCACCTCAGCCGGAAGGGTAGGTGAGCTAGGAACCCTAATGGTGGAGTCCACCATATGCTGTATTCCATAAGGACAATCTCTTTAGAACTATGTCCGAAATTCACTTCCAGAGTAGTTTCGGAGTTTCACATGAACCAATCAATACTTTGTTTTTTCCAAAACCGCATGCGTCTGAAGAAGGGAGACCTCACTCCCTTGATGTGTATGACATGCTCTCGCCTTCTACCTGAAAAGGACAAAACAAAGTAGAAAATCACCTAGATAGTTTCTCGCTATAGCAGAACGAGTCTGAGGTCAAGCTATTTCGTCGCAGAGGATCTTTGAGGATCTTGGCCTATATCCTGCTTTACCAGTAGTTGCATCTTCCTTTCCCTCATAGGGTGAGGGCTTGTTCTACAAGAGCATAAGCAACTTCAGTGGTATTGCTTCAGGAAGTACCCTTATTTATTTGTGTGGAAATTCTGCACCAAAAAAATTAAAATTTATGTACACAATATTTTAAAATTCTACATGTTTTATTTGTCAAAATAAAAATATAATCATAGGAACATAACTAAGGCTATGATTTGGTCACAGAGGTCATGGACTGCAGACTTCCATGACTTCAGCCCGCAGCAGCTGGGAGCTTCCAGGTACCCCTACCTCCTGTGGCGGCTGGGAGTTGCGGGGTCCCCCTGCCGCTTGAAGTGGCAGGGGTCCCCTCGCAGCTCCCCAATCCCCACAGGCAGTGGGGGATACCTGGCAGCTCCCCAGCGGGTGGGGGAGGGGTAAGTGGGGCGGGGCCTTGGGGAACGGGTGGGGTAGATCCTGGGTTGATTGTAAATTCAAAACGTGATCTTGCGCATAAGAAGGTTGGAGACCACTGCTGTAGGACATGTTTTCTAATCCTCTTATCATTCTCATGGCTATGCTCTGAACCTTCTCCAATTTATCAACATCCTTCTTGTATTGTGGGCACTGGAACTGGACATAGTATTCCAGCAGTGGTTGTACTAGTGCCAAATAACCTCTACTCGTACTCAAGATTCCCCTGTTCATGCATCCCAGGATTTCATTAGCTCTTTTGGCCACTGCATCACACTGGGAGCTCATGTTCAGCTGATTATCCCCCACACTCCATCCCTGTCCCCAAATCTTTCTCATAGTCACTACTTCCCAGGATAGATTTCCCCCATCCTGTAAGCATGGGCTAGTCTTTGTTCCCAAATGTCTACATTTACATTTAGCTGTATTAAAATTCGTATTGTTTGCTTGTGCCCAGTTTACCAAGTGACCTAGAATGCTCTGAATCAGTGACCTGACCTCTTCATTGTTTACCACTCCCCCAATTTTTGTGTTATCTGCAAACTTTCAGTAGTGATTTCATTTTCTTCCCAGTCATAAATAAAGACCTTAAATAGAGTAGGATAATTACTCCATTTGCAAATCATTGTCCTTGCCTGACCTGTTGATTTAGCAGTTAAAGTACTTGGCTTTTACTTTCTAAATATACTTACACTCTATATTAAGATAGTATTTACTACCTACCTAAACCCAACAGCTGTTCAAGGTTCAATAAGATGAAATATTAAGTTAGTGTTCCTATTTCTTTATTTCAGAGACACATTAACAGATACTAAGGTGCAATTTTTCAAAACACTTTTATATTGTTTCAGAATAAGATTTAGTATGGCTAGATCTTGTATTTGTTGGTGCAGACCCACACTTAACAACTGAATGTTTCTGTTTAGCCACCTCGCACATCTCACCCTGTAGTGAAGTTCTCCTGCACTGACTGTGAACCAATGGTCATTGACAAACTACCTTTTGATAAATATGAGTTAGAACCTTCACCGCTGACCCAGTTTATTCTGGAAAGGAAATCTCCTCAGACCTGCTGGCAGGCAAGTTGAATATGTACTAACTAAAGGACATTTATCTGAGAGATAGTATTCTGTAAATAACTTGGAATGAAATTCTAATTACATGTGTTGATTTACTATAAACTTACTGACATCACACCTTTAACTTATAACTCACACTTTAAAACTATTTATGTACAACATGAATTACATGAACTCTTCTTATTGCAGGTGTATGTGAGCAATAGTGCAAAATATAGTGAACTTGGCCATCCTTTTGGTTACTTGAAAGCCAGTACAGCACTGAATTGTGTGAACCTGTTTGTGATGCCTTACAATTATCCAGTCCTCCTTCCCCTCTTAGGTAAATACAGCTTTCTCAAATCCTTCTGATGTGGTAGGCGGAAAATTGCTTCAGCCTAGTTATATTTTTTGTGTTATTAATGCTGCTGTTAATAATCATAAGCCTATGCAAATCCAAAACATTAAGAATGTAATATTCCTACTGAAAAGAGAACTTTTAATTTTTCTGGTATCTACTATATTCATGATTCACTTAGCAAAAAATTACTACCATTCCTGAATCTGAGTATAATCCTGTTGATTTCTAAAAATGAGTGTTTATTGTTCACAGATATTTTACTCCCCTTCTAATATGCTGTGGCCGCCACTTTTTCCCCCCTGCTGCTGCTACAAAGCCCTTCTTTTCCTACTCCCATGGATCTGATAATGAGTTAGATTTTATAAATAACAAATTGCAAGATTCTGCCTTCCTTACGCACCTCGTGGATTGCATCCAATAGTAATTAGCTCTGATTAAGCCTTAGTGTAGTAGGACGAACCTTTAGAAGAAATGTTCTTAGAAAATGTGTGGTGAATGATGCCTTACATTTAGAAATGCACCTCTCATTTAACTTTATCTCTGTTTGTATAACTTCTTAGATGACTTATTCAAAGTACACAAGGCAAAGCCAACCTTAAAATGGCGGCAGTCATTTGAAAGCTATTTGAAGACAATGCCTCCTTACTATCTAGGGGTAAGATGATTTATTGTATGTGTGTTTTAAAATGTCTGCTGTATCCTATAATTTATGGTAAACTTGTATCTTCAGTTATTAGCTTGTTCTGTTAACTGTCTTCTTTTGGATTATATTTTATAAAGCAATTAGGATGTTCTGAACATAATAAAAGGTTAATGTGTACAAATCTAGGATTTCACATTTATGGCATCATGTATGCCCCGGAAGAGTAATTTCCTAAAATTTACATTAATGTCTTGACTTTTCCCTTTGACTGTAATGTTATAAAAACTTGGTCAGGTATAACTACTGCTTGAACTATATCTCCACTAATATTTAATAATTCCGCATTAATGTTGCAATACTTAAAGGAAAAGGATGTTATGTTGCCTTAAAGGGTTACAAATTCATTTTGAAATGAACGCATTAAGCAATCATGTTCTTTAAATTCTTGCTACAAACTTAAGGATACAAATATACAAGGCTATACATATGTAAGTGTATATATTACTTGTTTCAGCCTTTGAAGAAAGCTGTGAGAATGATGGGAGCGCCTAACCTTATAGCAGATGGTGTGGAATATGGACTTAGTTACAGTGTCATTGCATACCTCAAAAAGTTGAGTCAACAGGTAATGTTGATGCAAAAGAACAGTAAAAAATGAAAACTAAAAATGAAAAACACTTATTCTAGTATCAGACTAACTTGAAAATATCAGTGAACCATATTGGTTCTCATAGTAAAGGGGCAAGAAACCTCAAGTTACCTGAATTCCTACATGTGATTACCGTTGGTACATCTTCCGTTCTCTGAATTAGTTGAAAACTTTGTCTATAGGCTAAACTGTACATACATACTGAAATGTGGCTGATTGGATAACTCAACGTATATAGTAACAGAGGGTCCTGTGGCACCTTTATGACTAACAAAAGTATTGGAGCATAAGTTTTCGTGGGTGAATGCCCACTTCATCAGACGCAAGTAATGGAAATTTCCAGAGGCAGGTATAAATCAGTATGGAGATAACGAGGTTAGTTCAATCAGGGAGGGTGAGGTGCTCTGCTAGCAGTTGAGGTTTGAACACAAAGGGAGGAGAAACTGCTTCTGTAGGTGGATAGCCATTCAGAGTCTTTGTTTAATCCTGATCTGATGGTGTCAAATTTGCAAATGAACTGGAGCTCAGCAGTTTCTCTTTGGAGTCTGGTCCTGAAGTTTTTTTTTGCTGTAAGATGGCTACCTTTACATCTGCTATTGTGTGGCCAGGGAGGTTGAAGTGTTCTCCTACAGGTTTTTGTTAATTGCCATTCCTGATATCTGACTTGTGTCCATTTATCCTCTTGCATAGTGACGGTCCAGTTTGGCCAATGTACATAGCAGAGGGGCATTGCTGGCACGTGATGGCATATATAACATTAGTGGACGTGCAGGTGAATGAGCCGGTGATGTTGTAGCTGATCTGGTTAGGTCCTGTGATGGTATTGCTGGTGTAGATATGTGGGCAGAGTTGGCATCGAGGTTTGTTGCATGGGTTGGTTCCTGAGTTAGAGTTATGGTGCGGTGCGTGGTTGCTGGTGAGAATATGCTTAAGGTTGGCGGGTTGTCTGTGGGCGAGGACTGGCCTGCCTCCCAAGGTCTGTGAAAGTGAGGGATCATTGTCCAGGATGGGTTGTAGATCACTGATGATGCAGTGGAGAGGTTTAAACTGAGGACTGTGGGTGATGGCCAGTGGAGTTCTGTTGGTTTCTTTTTGGAGCCTGTCTTGTAGCAGGAGGCTTCTGGGTACATGTCTGGCTCTGTTGATTTGTTTCTTTATTTCCTTGTGTGGGTATCGTAGTTTTGAGAATGCTTGGTGAAGATCTTGTAGGTGTTGGTCTCTGTCTGAGGGGTTGGAGCAGATGCAGTTGTATCTCAGCGCTTGGCTGTAGACGATGGATCGTGTGGTGTGTCCGGGGTGGAAGCTGGAGGCATGAAGGTAGGCGTAGCGGTCAGTGGGTTTTCGGTATAGGATGGTGGTAACGTGGCCATTGCTTATTTGTACTGTGGTGTCTAGGAAGTGGACCTCCTGTGTAGATTGGTCCAGGCTGAGGTTGATGGTGGGGTGGAAGCTGTTGAAATCATGGTGGAATTCTTCCAGGGTCTCCTTCCCATGGGTCCAGATGATGAAGATGTCATCAATGTATCGTAGGTAGAGAAGGGGTGTGAGTGGACGAGAGCTGAGGAAGCGTTGTTCCAGGTCAGCCATAAAAATGTTGGCATATTGTGGGGCCATGCGGGTGCCCATGGCGGTGCCACTGGTCTGGAGGTATATATTGTCACCAAATTTGAAATAATTGTGTGTGAGGATAAAGTCTCAGAGCTCAGCAACAAGGTGTGCTGTGTCATCATCAGGGATACTGTTCCTGACAGCTTGTATTCCATCTGTGTGTGGGATGTTTGTGTAGAGAGCTTCTGCGTTCATGGTGGCTAGGATGGTGTTTTCTGGGAGGTCACCAATGCATTGTAGTTTTCTCAGGAAATCAGTGGTGTCACAGACATAGCTGGGAGTGCTGGAGGCGTAGGGTCTGAGTAGGGAGTCCACATATCCAGACAGTCCTTCAGTGAGAGTGCCAATGCCCGAGATGATAGGGCGTCCAGGATTTCCAGGTTTGTGGATCTTGGGTAGTAGATAGAATAACCCCGGTCGGGGCTCTAAGGGTATGTTGATTTGTTCCTGTGTTAGTGTAGGGAGTGTCCTGAGTAGATGGTGCAGTTTCTTAGTGTATTCCTCAGTGGGATCTGAGGAAAGTGGCCTGTAGAATTTGGTTACTTTCACAGACCTTGGGAGGCAGGCCAGTCCTCGCCCACAGACAACCCGCCAACCTTAAGCATATTCTCACCAGCAACCACACATCGCACCATAACAACTCTAACTCAGGAACCAACCCATGCAACAAACCTCGATGCCAACTCTGCCCACATATCTACACCAGCAACACCATCACAGGACCTAACCAGATCAGCTACAACATCACGGCTCATTCACCTGCACGTCCACCAATGTTATATATGCCATCATGTGCCAGCAATGCCCCTCTGCTATGTACATTGGCCAAACTGGACAGTCACTACGCAAGAGGATAAATGGACACAAGTCAGATATCAGGAATGGTAATTAACAAAAACCTGTAGGAGAACACTTCAACCTCCCTGGCCACACAATAGCAGATGTAAAGGTAGCCATCTTACGCAAAAAAAACTTCAGGACCAGACTCCAAAGAGAAACTGCTGAGCTCCAGTTCATTTGCAAATTTGACACCATCAGATCAGGATTAAACAAAGACTGTGAATGGCTATCCACCTACAGAAGCAGTTTCTCCTCCCTTGGTGTTCGCACCTCAACTGCTAGCAGAGCACCTCACCCTCCCTGATTGAACTAACCTCGTTATCTCCATACTGATTTATACCTGCCTCTGGAAATTTCCATTACTTGCGTCTGATGAAGTGGGCATTCACCCACGAAAGCTTATGCTCCAATACTTCTGTTAGTCTTAAAGGTGCCACAGGACCCTCTGTTGCTTTTTACAGATTCAGACTAACACGGCTACCCCTCTGATACTCAAAGTATATAGTATGCAAGCAGCATTTTCATATGTGCTAACTTGAATATATTTGTGGTTAAAAAGGCACAGTTCTTTCTGCTCTGTGCTAAAAATCACCTTGCATGCGATTAGGGATTTGTGCCTATATGTAATTGGGCCATAATGCAGCCTTCTTTCCTATTTGGCCCATAGTTTTTGAAGTGCTTCAGGATCCATGAAAGGCATTAGCTAAATATAAAACATAGTAAACAATGCCTTTCATCCCTATTGAAGTGCTTGCTTACAAATGAGGAAACTGGCACAGAATGGACAAGGTTACACCCCAAGCCACTGGCAATGGTGGGGAGTAGAAACCATATCTCCTGGCTAGTCTCCTGCTCTAGCAGGTAAAAACCATTGATTTCCCATTATCACTTACTGTTTTGTTGTGTGTCTCCAACTTTTTTTGGATAATCACAAAATTGAGTAGCTTTGACACAAAAGGATGTAGAGATGCAAACATTAATGTCTTTGTATGTTTAAAATTTCATAAAGTTTAAAAGCCCTCAATATAAATCTTATTTTTTTAAACTCCTAGCTATAGCCTGTGGAAATCTGTGATGAATCTTACCAAATTGTGTGGTCATTTTGCTCAAAAATCTGCATAATCTATAAATCTGTATATTTATACATTTTTGGCATAAAATACATTGTTCTACAGTATGTTATACCTACATTAGAGTATACAGTAATCCTCCTTAAAATCTTTCTTTCCTTTTGAAAGATTCTACCAGTTTAAGAGAGTTCTGTTCTTAAAATGGGAAATAACATTTGAACTTTCAGTGTGGAAGGAACTTCTCAAGTGCAACCTCTGAATAAACATTGTATGACAGTCAGAAGTTCTCAAATGATTTTTGGCTTATTGTTCAACTGTATTCTACCAAACTACTAGTGATGCATTTTAGAGTACATTTGATTTTGGGACATACTTGGCAGATGAAAAATTACTGGCTGTGGTGGATTGTCTGCCAAATGGAGGAAGAATCAAAAGATTGCTGTGTGTTCCCTTATTTTGTTGGAGTTGAACTGTCTCTTCCTTGCTTTAATCTCAGGTTCTTTTCCTATCTTCTATTGACTTTTTAAAAAAAAAAGAAATTGATACCATCATATGAGTCCATAATAAATACAGTTAAATGAGATAAGTTACTTTGTGAAAATTCTCATAAGACTTCAGCTTTTTTCACAGAGAAAAGTGAAATCTATGAGCACATCCAGAAATTCTGGCACAGTTTTCCAATAATCGTAATCAAGGCATTTTTATGAAAATAAAAGCATTGCATGCATATTGGTGCTTAGATACTATGATAATGGGCACCCTAGAAATACCTGAAAAAGCTAGACACAAAAACTGTTTACGATATTCTAATGATTTAGAATTGTAGTAGTACATTCAGCAAACCACCTTAAACACTCATCCACATTATATTTTTTATAGTGTATTAGCACATTGCCGAATCTTCTAGGTAAGAATTAGGAATTAAATTAATATTCTGACTAATCCTTTTAAGAGTATATTGTCAATTTTATTTATTTATTTATTTCAAATTAAGGCCAAAATAGAGTCCGATAGAGTCATTGGCTCTGTAGGCAAAAAGGTAGCGCAAGAGACTGGAATTAAGGTCAGAAGCAGATCACACAACCTGTCTATGGCACATAGGAACGATTTTCAACAACTGCTACAGGGGATTACTGGGGAAATTCCTCATAGACTTCTAGACCTCAATATGAAGGAGTATGCTGGGTTCCAAATAGCTTTGCTGAATAAGGTAAGCACCATTATGTGTAATGTTGTTATTTTCAATACACTTCCATTGAAGTATTAGATGTTATTTCATATGTAGTATTAATCAAAGCTTTATTATATTGCTGCAACTGTAGGAATTGAAACCTCAGACCTTTAGAAATGCTTATGATATACCCAGAAGGAATCTTTTGGATCACTTAACAAGAATGAGGTCTAATCTTATGAAGATAACTCGCAAGTTTCTCAAAGGACAAGATGAAGGTTAGATTACTTTGTTTATTGTTTGCATATCTTAATATGTATAGTAGTTAGTACTATTATCATAACTTTGTATAGTGTGCTGAATGGAGTAAAGTTGAGCCTTCTTCAATAGATGCTTAGTTGGGAGGTTTTCTTTCTGAAATAAACTTATTCTAAGATTGCTGCTATTGCACACGAATCCCAGTGGCTTTTCTTGGGTTAGACATGTTCCAGTGGCTCATGGAAGACAAAACTTATATCTTCCATTTAATTTCTTTGACTGTCCTTGTCTTAAGAACAGTCTTGTTTTCTTCAGCTTTTGATTCTGTTTGTTTTTGTTTCACTTTTTTCCAGCTTTGTGGGTATATCAAAGGACAAATATCTTCTGGACAGTCCTGGACACTGAAGTCCTCTGTCCATATAATAAGTACATAATAGGCATGGGCAGAGCAAGCTTCCCCCTCACATCCTGCCAACTTGCCTCACCCTTGACCTGAAAGGAGCACCTCTCTTGGTGAGAGAGTAGTTGTCTCCATGCTAATGGGGGGGAGGGATAGCTCAGTGGTTTGAGCATTGGCCTGCTAAACCAGGGTTGTGAGTTCAATCCTTGAGGGGGCCACTTGGGGATCTGGGGCAAAATCAGTACTTGGTCCTGCTAGTGAAGGCAGGGGGCTGGACTTGATGACCTTTCAAGGTCCCTTCCAGTTCTAGGAGATGGGATATCTCCATTAATTTCTATATTTCTATATTTCTAATTCAGTTTTTTCCCTATGTGGTGACTTTCTGCAGGCAATACAATAACCTGTGCTAGCCATAAATGACAGTAGTAGTAGAGCTCAAGAGGAGAAGTACTCTGCAGTTAAAGTGCTTCATTACACTGTGGCACCTGTAGAAGACAATAATGGAAAGAATGAAATAAGAATAGACAGAGAAAAAGGAAAAAAGACAAGAAAAAATAGGACTTCTAACAACATTTCTAGATTATGAATATTAGTCTGGCCTAAGTAGTGATAGAATGACTATTAAAAAAGTTGTGTCCAGTTCCTGGAGAGGTGTCCGTATTACAACTGGCATTAATTCTAGTGTAATCTGCTACCCAACCTACCTCCTTGCTAAGCAAAGGATTGATGGGTGAATTTTGACATGTTGTGCGGTCAAGAACACATTGAGGACCTGAATCACAAGGACTCTTAAGAAAATGCTGAATTTTGTTTTCAGTGTGTACAAGATTACAAGCATCTTGTACCTTGCTGACAATATTAGAAAGGACATTTCTCAAGTTGTTGGTGTTTTACTTCTAATTAATAAAATGTCTTCATGTTTTTGGCAGATAGGAAGGGGCTTTTTGTGTAATCATAGTTCAGAGTAGCATGTAAGGTGGAATATTACATAGTAATTTCATACATCAGTGTAATAGTAGCCTCAGTGCATTTTACAATTAATGCATTCAGATGGTCTCCATTCCTTTCCCTCCACCCATCCTATCCAAAAAGAATTGTGTATCATGTTGGAAAAACAAAAACTGTACTCAGGAGGCTATTACTCATTTCTAGGATGAGATGATCAATACACATTACATACATTGATTTTTTTCAACCCCAGGCAAGCCTTCCACAGTATGTGAAGTAGTATATGAAATATTTTAATTATTATGTTGGTAGAGAGGAAGATGGGTTTTGAGCATCTATTTCTATATACTTCTGTGTTGCTATATCCTGATCAAAAAGGTGAGATAATATGAAAACTGGATGTGTGAAATGCAGCCAGAATTAAATCCTGACAAAACAAACAGTGTCATACTGTTTCTATAGGCATAGTCTTTTGATAAAAACTATCTTCAATTCCAATAGATCAAGTTCACAGTGTACCAATAGCACAAATGGGAAATTATCAGGAGTACCTAAAACAGATACCATCTCCTCTTCGAGAGCTTGACCCTGATCAACCCCGAAGGCTACATACATTTGGTAATCCATTTAAATTGGACAAGAAGGTAATTTCTCTATAATACTCATTTTGTGTAATACTAGTGTTACGGCATTTGTATGTGTTGCTAACTAGAAGCCATCCAAGTGCATAGGAAAAGAAGGCCACTATATTTCTTTGGAAATTTACTCAACTCTTTTTAGGCCACCTATTTTTTCATGGAGGAGCAGACTTGATTAGAAATCACTTATGAAACCTCTGCATTTTTTTAGTATGAAATATTCATATGTTGTGAAATTGCCAACACTTTACCCTTCCCCCCCCCCGCCTCTTTTTATTAAACCCTTCCTTAGCAAAAAGCTTGCATTAACTTGATGGCGTCTCTAGTTTTCCACTAGCCCAAGGACATGGATTCTTAATCCCTCACAAATCTAGGCCTTTGACTTGACTTCAGTGAACTACCAAGATAGGTGAATATTTAACTGACTAAAAATTACCTCGCCTCTGAGTCCGGTTTAGAGGTCATGTTTTACAGGCAAATTGTATAACCATAGTCAGCTTTCTTACTTGGGATATTGTTTATAGAGTGGTCTTCAACACATCAGTCCTAATCTCTACCAGAGTAAATCATTTGCCCAGGTCTTTTTTAATTGGCATTTGAGAGAAGCCAAGACAAGGTGGTATATTTTCCTGATTGGATTGTCTTATATCTGACAAAAGTCAGGAAATTGTTGGATATGTTTTTTGGTAAACTTGCTGTGCAAGATAACACAAATTTAAGAGCGCTTTTTTAAAAACCAGATTTATTTGTTACAGGGAATGATGATAGATGAGGCAGATGAATTTGTATCAGGGCCTCAAAATAAACACAAACGACCCGGAGAACCAAATATGCAAGGGATTCCTAAAAGACGTCGGTGTATGTCACCCCTTCTCAGAGGCCGGCCACAGACTCCTCCTGTCATGAACAATCACATTGGAGGAAAAGGGCCACCTACACCTGTAACACAAGCACAGCCAGATCTTGTTAAACCTATTCCTATTCACAAAAGTAAGTGTAACTCTATTTCAGTTAATTTTTCCTGTTGCCTTCATTTGGTTCCTCTTCAGATAATTCTCTTTACTCTTTATACAAAAGAATGTTTTAGTTGGTCATCAAAAAAGTAAGCATGCTGTAGATTTCTCAAATTTGTGTATTTGAATATCCAGTTCCAAAATGTCAGTATGTAAATGTTCAGCCTTAATTATCCAATTACTTTGCGTATTTGGCACCTCAGAGGTGACAAACCTCTGCCATTCTTTTGTAATTTCAAAGCAATATAAAGATTTCTGAAATTTAGCTATCTGCCATTGAAACACCACTTTCTAATACTAAAACTACCTTGATATGTACAAGGGAAAATATCATACAATGTAGACAAAGGTACTTGTTCTATGCCCTTTAATTGTTTCACATACATACATTTTAGGATTTAGTGATACATAAATTGATTGTAACTTTATAGTAAGTAAAATAAACATCAGTGAAATTTATAGTAGTTACCCTCCCAGCAAATCTATGAGGGGGCAGAATAGGGGAGGGTTTCATATTTGTAGACTTGTCGTATTTGTTGATTGTCTACATGTACTCTTTATATTGAGGATTTATATTTTCCTCCATAAATCACTCTTTTGAGCCTCTAATTATTTCTGTTGCTCTTTTCTTCCTCAGCATTTTTGTAATAAGAAAGTGGACGTATTAATTTAACATTTCAGGTTCATTTGCACCAGAGATAAGTAGAGGGGTCCTTCTCTTCCTGTTCTGTGATGTGGTATCCCTGTATAGATGAAGAGTTTAAAAAAGGAGTTTGGTATTTCAGCCATTACATTTAACTCCTTTCTTACAAATAGACCTACTTTTTTCTAGCACTCTTTTCTTAGCAGTATGCAAAAGCTTTTTACTTTCCCCTTAGCTTTTTTAACTCATTTTCTTGTGTGCCCCATATTTTTTCATATGTTACTAATTTAATATTCTAGTTTGGTTTCCTTCTGTCATTTGACTTCATGTATTAAGCAGACCCTTGTCAAATCAGTTGGTTAATCCTTATATTCTTCAATTTCAGAGGAATTGTAGCTTGTTTTAATTATGGTGTCTTTAAGATTCCCCAGCTGCCGTGCACCATGGAACATTTAAAACCTTCCATCTTGTGTTAGTCACTGAATTTTTTAATTCCAAATTTTGTATTCAGGTGGTGGTTGCATTCTCTTATTTTTGGCTCATAATCTTTCCCCTTTTAACACTGGAATCTATTAATTCAATAAGACCACACTTAAAATTAGGTACTGCTATAAGACATTCAAGTAGACATGCAAAAGTAATAGCCAGCGCCTGATTTTTAGCTGAATCTCAGCCTGGCCTCACTTCTTGCAGGTGTAATTTTGTGCTTGCAACTAACTGTCATATTAATCTTACTATTTAGATGGCAAAATATATGACTGATTTGCAGACTCAAGTTAGGTATGTAGCGGATTTAGTAAGATTTCTTCCTGTAACTGGGCCGAAGAGTTCAGTTTTTGCAGGCTCAGATTGTCCCTCTGAAAGACAGGCTGTCTGAAAAACTAGAGTCAATCTTCTTTTGTGATGTGACTTTTTTCCAGGAGGAAGACTGTTGTACTTAACCTGGCCTGGAATAATTTTTGGACTTCTGGTATATAAAGGCATGCATACATACATACACACACACACACACTTATATATATATATATATATATATAAAAAATAGAATACATTTCCAACAATTGTTGATTGTTTGCTTTTCCAGTTCGTTGGTAAAATACAGAACAAATTGCATTTTAATTTGGATGTTTGCAGTAATTTCCTCACTTCTCGGAGGTAGAACAATATTACAGATAAGCATATAGTTAACAATCCTCTGGATATTTACTCTTCTGTGGGAATTGACACCAGGGTAAATTACAATTGAATCACATATATAGTCAGAAGTACTGGGATATACTTTCTTATAACAAAATTTAGGAACCTTCCCAGTACAAAGAGTTTGTTTCCCCTCTTCTCTTTTAATACAGTGAATAAAGTAAAAGAGCAAGGCCGGTATATCCCTTTAAGTGGGTCTCACTGATCTCTGATATATTAGTGAGTACAATCTCTTTGATCTGAGTCACTCCAAAATATTGCAACACACAAGCTTATCTGGTGAGCTTCACTCCAGTGAAGAGTGAACTTTATTCCTTTAATGTGGGCCTGTGTGTTGCATAGGGCCTTGAGCCAGCCCTTCTGCACTGAAGTGAATTTTTTCCATTAATCTTAATGGGACCAGGTAAGTAATTCCTCACAGAAACACCCTTTATCTTCTGTTCACTTGACTTCTTGCTTTGTTGCTAGTCTGTGTAACTCTTCCCTTTTCCTTATAAAGAATGCTTCCCTGTATTGATAGACCACCACCCCTCAATGGACATTCCAGGGTGTTCTGTGCCACCAACATCATCATCTTCTGACTCCCCGATGTTGCAGAAGTATCTCTTACCTTCCTCTAAACCTACCTGCTGCAACATGATTGCACAAGACTAGGTTACCCAGTACCAAATCATGTATGATTTTGATGGTTTTTAATGCATGCTTGCCAGTTTGTTCCTCTTCATAGTCTTTATTTTTCAGCTTCAGAAACCAATAACGAGATTGCAGCGGATGATGCGACTGAGAATCATGTTGCAGACCCACTTTCATCAGATGTTTTTCCAAATGCTATGGATTCTGACTTTTCAGTGTCCCCCTCTCCATTCAATTCATTGGATGGACCAACAACTCATTCAGAGGATCTAGGCCATGAACATTTAGGAACTAATAACCTTAACATCGATGAATTTATGAAAAATGAAGAGTTGGGTGGTAAAGAGCGAAGTACTCAAGAAAACTTGCCAGCATCTTCGCCCAACAAAGGGAAAAAAGTGATACATTCCAGAAGTGCAAGAGAGGTTAATATAGAACTAAAAGCACAAATTATGAAGGAGATTAGAAAGCCGGGAAGAAGTAAGTATAAGAACCGCAAACCACTGTCTTTGTATCCAGATGATTGGAGAGACAACTAGACTCGATTAAAATATTTAGATTACATCATTGTATTTTGTAAGATACTGAGTCATGCAAGAATTGTAATAGATATCTGTGATTACTAGCAGAAGTAAAAATAAGAGAAGAGAAACCCTATGTGTAGTAGAGAGGAAATCCTTTTAATTCAAAGTTTATAAGGCCTCTTTAGAAAGTTTGAAAATCTGTTTTCTTTCATACTTTCCTGAATGCGTGGGTGGAATAGGATTAAATCCATCTGTTTATATTCTTCAGATTTTGTACTTACCTACTTTGACAGTAGCCTAGATTTAGTACATTTGGTTTTTACATTAAAGTTGACAAATAACTTTTAATTTTTCTTCGAGTGATGGTCCCTATGTGTATTCCACACGTGGGATAAGCATGTGCACCATGAGCTTGAGTCTGGATTTTTTTTTACAAGCAGTGTCCATTGGCCTCTACATGCGCCATAGCGCTCCTCGTGCACTGAAGCGAGGGCATAAAAGGTGGTGTGGGCTAACACCTTTCCAGTTCTTTCTTACTGCCGCAAGGTCCGAGTCAGAATCTTTGGTGTTCTCAGCTCCTTTTTTTTACTGTGTCATTGCTGTAAGGTATTGTGTATAGTTAGTTTAAATAGTCTACATAGTATAGTTAGATGACGGTTTTTTTCCCATTTTCTTCCCCACCTGGTGACTTTTTCACCCTGAGAATGTCCAGGGTTCAAAAACAGTTTCCTGCACTCATTCTTTTTTGGTGAGCAACTAACAACAACGTTGCCTCTGCTGCCTGGGTGAGGCTCATATTTCTGCCAAGTGCAGCAGTGGCCGCTTTCCCTCACCCCACCCCACCCCGAACTCATGAGGGTCAGGAATTGAAATTCAGAAAATATCTCATGGAGAAGGTGAGAAGACCCAGTCACATGGAGGCTGGGGACCTCCCCATACCTCATCTCACCAAGTAGACAGCGCCCCTTCGAGCACAAGCTCAGGAATGGAGGCTAAGACCATCAAGTCTGAGGAGAAGGCTTCACATGACAGCAAAGGGCACTATCATAGATATAAGGACATGCCAGCTTTGTCGAAAACTTCCCTGAAGAGAAAGGATCCCTCCCCAATCCAGTCAGTCAGGAGAGCTGGTGCAGGCGGGTGCTAAGAATTTAGGCCTGAGTAAATCTTCTCAACAGGAGAAGGAAGGATATAAAGATATGGATCTGATGGTTCAAATATCGGGTCTGATGGTGAAGGCTCGGGATGAACAGCTTCTGGTGCTCCCTTCCATTTCTATAGCTGATGCAATACCAGTAGCAATGTGGCCCCAGAGGGAGCCGACTGCCACAGTGGCCAGGGAAGCTCCAGTTCTGACAGCTCTGCCAATGGGCTCTTCTCTACGTCTCCCGGAGGACATCTTTGCTCTTCTGTATCTCATTCATCCCTCCTATTGGTTCCATCTCTATTCTGGGACGTTGATACTCCAGAGGAAGAGCCTATCCCAATGAGGCAGAGTTGTTCTCCCATCCCACCTGGCAGCCTTGAGGCACAGCCACTGGTACTGTTCTGCACAAGATAAGGAATCAGGCTTTTTCTTTGGATGAATTTGAGTCTCCACAGGAGTCTGTGCAGCATTGGGTGGAGGTGGCACTAGACAGGAGACACACAAGATCAGGATTCCAACCTCAGACAATTGGCCAAGAAACAGGTGATAACCTACGCCATAGGGTCCTCCTCTGCCAGTTGATCCATCCTACTGTGAAGAGTGTGGGATCCCTACCCTAGACACCCAGGATTGGTGCAGGAGTCCTATTTGTCATCACCTAGACACCCACAACTGGCCCTGTTGGAATATTTGGAAGGGTAGACTGAGGAGGATCATACGGTTTGGGGAGAAACCTTGTTGTCTTCACTAGATGAGGCGTACACTCCATTTTCTCCGTCTCTGCCAGATGACCTGAAATAATATCAAGAGCTCATGCCCAGGGTGTCTGCAGAGCTATAAATTCAGCTTCAGGAAGTCCTGGAGCCTCAGCATATTTTTCTAAACATTCTGCAGCCTTCCTGTCCCAGTTGAGTGACCCTCCTCATAAACAAAGCCATCATGGAGCAAGCACAGATAGTTGGCACACTCCTGCTTCTTGTGCTCTGAGAAGCACTACTTTGTTCCATCCCTGGGGGAGTTTTTGTTCTCTCACCCACTGCTAAACTCTTCGGTGGTTTAGGCAGCTACAGAGCAGCCCAAGCAACAGCACCCAAAGGCTACTCCCTCTGAAAAGGGACACAAGTGACTCAACCTTCTAGGGAGAAAGGTCTTCTCTTACACCTCCCTCCAGTTCAGGATCTCAGATGATCAGGCCCTCTTGTCCAAATATGATTTTTACTAATTATAATTTTTTGGAATTTAAGGACAAGCTCGCTGAGGGGTGCCTAATTCTAGGCCTTAGTGAATGGGGGCAGATTGGTGGCCAAAGCTTTCCTCCAAGCTGTAGTGGGTGCAGTAAATATTGCATCTAGGGGAATGGCTTACAGATGTGTTATGAGGAGAGACTTGTGGTTACAATCCTCTGGTTTCCGTAGAGAGGTGCAGAGTACCATCCAAGATCTCCCCTTCAGTACTATCCACCTATTCCACGAGAAGGCGGATGAGTCCCTCCACTCCCTCAAAGACTCAAGGATAACGCTTCACTTGCTGAGCATTTATACTCCTGCCCCTAAAAGAAAACACTATAGACATGGGTATAGGGCAAGGCCGCCTCCTCAGCTGTTTTACCACCAACACCAGGAGCCATCACACAAGGGACTGAAAGTTTATATACCTAGGAGCCTAGCCTCTGCAGCATCTACGGCCATGTTATACTCTAATCCCCTAGTGAAGAATTTCTTTTGACAGGACCCATGTGCCTTTATTGATGCTGCTTCATTCCCTTCCTCTGATATTCAGAGGCCGCCTTACCCAGTTTGCCAAAAAACTGGAGGGCCCTAACTACAGACAAATGGGTATTAAAGATTGAGCTTCTGATACCTCCTACCCACAGACCCTTTTCAAGGACCACTCTCACAAGGAGATTCTATAACAAGAGGCAAATTTCCTTGTCCTCAGGGGAGCCATAGATAGGGTTCCACCTCAACCTCAAAGGAAGAGATTCTATTCCCCTTACTCCTTTATTCCCCAGCAAGGTTAGGGGATGGAGGTCAGTTCTTAATTTGAGACAACTGAACAAGTTCATTCAAAAACTAAAATTTGATACGATATCCTTGGCATCAGTATTTCCCTTGTTAGAGGAGGACACATGGTTCATGACTCTTGACGTGAGACACATATTTGCACGTAGACATCCACCCGCCCACAGGAGATTCCTCTTTGGTCAAGAACATTACTAATTCAGAGTCCTCCCCTTTGGTCTAGCTGCAACACCTAACATCTTTACAAATGTTTTTTTTTTCAGTAGTGGTAACGTGGATGAGAAGAGAGAGATTTACAGTCATCCCTTATGTTGACAACTGGCTTCTGATGGACAGTTCCTGTGAGGAAGTCCAGTGGTTCTGTTCAGTCTTCTGCCTTCCCTGGGTCTGCGTCAATCACAGAAGATCTGTCGATCCCCACAAGGTTCATCAATTTTATAGTGGAGAGATTGGACTTGATCACAGCAAGAGCATATCTACCTCAAGAGGTTTCATGCCATGAGCACTTTCATATATAAGGTCAATCAGTTGAGGTGCTAAAGGAGCGCACTCAAGGAAAACAAGACCATTGAAAAGAACCTAAATGAATACTTTGTATTGTCTTCACTACAGAGAATGTGAGGGAAATGTCCACACCTGAGCCATTCTTTTTAGATGATAAATCTTAGGAACCTGTCCCAGATTGAGGTGTCAGTAGAGGTGGTTTTAGAACAAATTGATAAATAAAAACAGTAATAAGTAATAAGTCACCAAAACCAGATAGTATTCACCCAAGAGGTCTAATGGAACTCAAATATGAAATTTCAGACTTATTAACTGGGTCTGTAACCTATCACTTAAATCAGCTTCTGTATCAAATGACTGGAGGATAGCTAATATGATGCCAATTTTTAACAAAGGCTACAGAGGCATCCTGGCAATTACAAGCCAGAAAGCCTAACTTCCAGTACCAGGAAAATTGGTTGAAACTATAGTAAAGAACAGTATTATCAGACACATAGAAGAGCACCATTTGTTGGTGAAGAGTCAACACAGATTTTGTAAAGGGAAATCATACCTCACCAATCTATTTGAATTCTTTGAGGGGGTCGACAAACGTGGATTAGCGTGATCCAGTGAATATAGTGGACTTGGACTTTTAGAAAGCCTTTTAAAGGCTCTTAAACAAATTTATCAGTCCTAAGATGAGAGGGAAAGTCCTCTCATGGATCAGTAATTAGTTCAAAGACAGGAAACAAAGCATAGGAATAAATGGTTAGTTTTCAGAATGGGGAGTGGTGTAAATAGCACTCTTGCCTAAGGATCTGTATTGGGACCAGTGCTGTTCAGCATATCCATAAATGATCTGGAAAAGGGGGTAAATAATGAGGTGGCAAAATTTGCAAACGATACAAAATTACTCAAAATAGTTGAGTCCAAGGCAGACTGACGAGTTAAGGGATCTCACAAACCTTGGTGACTGGGTAATGGCAAATGAAATTCAGTGTTGATGAATGCAAAGTAATGCACATTGAAAAACACAATTCCAACTATATATACAAAATGATGGTATCTAAATTGGCTTTTACGACTCAAGAAAGAGTTCTCAGAGTCATTGTGGATAGTTCTCTGAAAATATCTGCTTAATGTGCAGCAGCAGTCAAAAAAGCTAACCATGTTAGGAACTATTAGGAAAGGGATAGATAAGATAATAAACAGCATACTACTACTATATAAATCCGCACCTTGAATACTGTTGCCTCATCTCAGAAAAGATGTATTAGAAATTGAAAAGGTACAGAGAAGGGCAACAAAAATGATTAAGACTATGGAACAGCTTCCGTATGAGGAGAGATTAAAAAGATTTGGGACTATCCAGCTAGGAAAAGAGAGGATTGGGGGGATATGATAGAAGTCTATAAAATCATGAATTGTGTGGAGAAAGTGAATACAGAAGTGTTATTTATCCCTTCACATAACAAAAGAAATAAATGTCTCCCAATGAAATTAATATGCAGCAAGTTTCAGACAAAGAAAAGGAAGTACTTCTTCACACAGCACTCAGTCAATCCATGGGATTGTTGCCAGGAGATGAGATGCCAGGTGAAGGCCAAAACTATAACAGGGTTCAAAAAAGAATTAGATGAGTTCTTGGAGGATAGGTTCATTAATGGCTATTAGCCAAGATAGGTAGGGATGCAATCCTATGTTCTGGGTGTCCATAAGCTTCTTACTGCTAGGTGCTGGGACTGGACGACAGGATGGATCACTTGATAATTGCTCTGTTCTGTTCATTCCCTCTGAAGCATCTGGCTTTGGCCACTGTTGGAAGACAGGATAGTGGGCTGGATGGACCATGGCTGTTCTTAGGTTCGCTATCAGACCCAGGACATTCATCAGAACTTGCCTTTCCCTACTCTGTCATGTGGCCTCATGCGCACACTTGACGCTGTTCTCCAGGCTTCTGCTTCACTGCCAACAGGCCTGGCTTCTCTCCGTGTACTCAGTAGAGAAGGGCAACATAAATGGTAATGGGACAATTCTGCCCATAGTTTTAGACATTCATCTGGTGAACAACACCGGAGAACATTTGTGTGGGGATTCCTTTCCTCAATCTGACTCCCAAGGCAACCATCATTACGGATGCTACCCTCTTGAATTGGGGTGATCACGTGGGCTATCATATGGCACAAGACATGGACCCTACAAAAGTCCAGAATGCATATCAATTTTCTAGAACTCCAGGTGGTCCATCAAGTCTGTGATACCTTCCTCCCACTCATCCAATCCAGACGTGCAAACAGTGTCGGACAATGTGACGACAGTATTTTTATATAAACAAGCAGGGGGGAAGCAAGATTTGTCCCTCTCTGTGCAGAGAGAGGCAGTCGCCCTCTGTAGTTGGTCCATCAATCATAGCATAACCCTGACAGCAGCATATTTACCAGTCATGCAAAACTCCATAGCAGACTGCCTGAATAGACATTTTTCCACAAATCATGAATGGGAGATTCACATTGGTTCTTGATGATAACTTTGCCCAGTGGGGAACACTGGCCTGGGATCTTTTTGCCTCACGGGAGAACAGGAAACTTCCTTGGTACTGCTCCAGAGCAGCCCTGGGTAAAGGCTTGATGGGAGATGCCCTATTGGTGTCATGGTAGGGTCATTGGGGTCATCCTCATCCATCTGTCCCATCCCATTGATACCAAAAGTTCTACGGAAGATTCACTTATCCTGTCACAGCTAGATTTCTAAAGGGGATTCTCGGATCCTTTCCACCATTGGTGAAGTTCGTACCTCAATGGACCTCAATTTTGTTTTATCGTCGCTCACTAACTTCTCCCTTCCTCCCCCCCCCCACCCCCAGTCCTTTGAGCTTCTAGCCAGATGTGCAATGGCCCATCTGTCCATGAAGGTGGCCTTTCTATAGCCATAACGTCAGCCAGAAGGGTCGGTGAACTGGGAGCACTGTGGCAGACCCACCACATACTTCCTTGTTTAAAGAAAAGATCTCATTATAACTCCACTCTAGATTTGTTCCTAAAGTAGTTTCCAAGTTTCACATGAGCCAGGAAATCCACTTACCAGTATTTTTTCCAAAATTGCATGCCTCAGATGAAGAGAGACAGCTGCATTCTCTAGATGTCTGAAGGGTTTTGGGCTTTTATCTTCAAAGAAAAAAGGATGTTGGAAAAACACCTAAACTATTTGTTTCCATAGCAGAGCGATTAAGGGATCAAGCTATATTGGTGCAGAGACTTTCAAAATGGATCTTGGGTTGTTTATATTACCCTTTGTTACCAACTAGTTCATATCCCCCTTTGGAGGGGGTGTGAGTGCTCATTCCGCTAGCAGGGGTGCTAGAACAATTCATATAGTGGGGGTACTGAGAGCCATTGAACCAAACTGTAAACCCTGTATATGATGGAAACCACTTCAAGCCGGGGGTGCAGCAGCACCCCTAGTTCAGGCACCTGTGTCCACTAGAGGGCAAGCTACTTCGGCTGTGTCACTGAGAGACGTACCCCTCCTAGGGATATCTAGGGCAGCTGTGTGGAGCTCTTTGCATACCTTAATGAGATATTATGCTCTGGTCCAGTTGTCAACTGCAGTTATAGCTGTGAGGACAGTAGTACTACAGTCAGCTATCACTGCTGCATCCTCGCCCCAACCCCCATCTGACTACTGCTTGTTAATCACCCTTGTGTGGAGAACACATAGGGACTATCACTCAAAGAAGAAATGGAGGTTACTTACCTGTAACGGGAGTTCTTTGAGATGTGTGGTCCCGGTCTGTATTCACTTCCCGTCCTCCGTCCCCTCTGCAGCGGATAGTTTGAACTGTGGTAAAAATGGGAAACTGGAGAGGTGTCTGCCTGCACCACTTTTTATGCTCTCTGTTCAGAGCAGGAGAAGAGCTATGGCACATGTGCAGGCCAATGGACGCTGTTCGCAAAAAAAATTCCGGATTCAGGCACGTGTATCATCGTACATGTGGAATGCAGATAGGGACTACACATTTTGAAGAACCTTCAGTTACAGGTAGGTAACCTATATGTTTACTTGCCTACTTAATACAAAGACAGTACTGTTACTTAAGCTGTACAAAAGCTGAATGAAGCTTGCAATTATGCTCATAAAGCAGGGTGTTGCAACAGATATATCTGTGTAGGTTTCTTCTAATGAACTTTTTAACTTTATTTTTTAAGAATATGAAAGAATCTTCTTTTTACTGAAGCATGTACAAGGCAGTTTACAAACACGACTGATATTTTTACAGAATGTTATTAAAGAAGCCTCAAGGTATGTAGCTACCTACAAATCTTGTAAAATTATACTAATGTACTGTATGTAGTCAGAGGTATGTCCATAGCTACTATATATATATCTGCTTGAGACCCACACATTTGTAAGTATCGTTCACATTTTGATTTTTTTATCCTAAAAATTAACCACACAAATGCTTCAAATTACAGACAAAAGGCCCTGGGAGGAAATCTGTTCTGTTCTAGTTCATCATGATCTATGTAGTTCTTGCTTCCCCCTCCCCCCAAGCCCTTATACTTCTACAAACTCAGCTCTTTGCTGCTGCTTTTCAATTGAATGTCTTGGAAATGATGACTGAAGATGTTAAAGCAGGAAATAGATAAATTCACATAAACCTAGCAAGCTGGGGTGTCACTGTCCAGTGCACTAGCTTGCTGCATGCTAACTGGCCATGTAGACCCTGCTACTTGCACACTAAAATTTCTGTAGTGTGCTTTGACCTACTGCTGTTTGAAAAAGTTCCATAGTATACAGTATATGGGGTTGCAAAACTGTATGGAGGGCTGGGTAGGGAAGGCTGTGCCTCCCCAAACTGCCTGGCCCCCACCCTCTCTCCGCCCCCTCCTACTTCCCGCTCCCTGACTGCCCCCCTCAGAACCTCCGAACCATCCAGCCCTCCATACTTATCCAACCGCCCCTGTTCCCCATCCCCTGACTGCCCCCCCCGAACCTCTGCCCCATCCAACCGCTCCCTGTCCCCTGACTGCCCCTCAGGACTCCCAGCCCCCTTACCATGCCACTCAGAGCAGCATGTCTGGCAGCTCTGCTGCCCACCCAGAGCTAGACATGCTGCCACTCTGCTCGGCAGGAGCGCGCTGCTCCGCTGCCCAGAGTGCTGGCCGCGTGGCAGCATGGCTGTGGGGGAGGGGGGACAGCAGGGTTGGGGCCAGGGGCTAGCCTCCTTGGCCGGGAGCTCAAGGGCCAGGCAGGACAGTCCCGCGGGCCGTAGTTTGCCCACCTCTGGTATACAGTATCAGTGTCCACACAGCCAGTTACCGTGTGGCAACGTGGTGCATTGTAGATTTATATCCCGGCTTGCTGAGCAGTAAGTCTCTGTAGATAAACCCTACGTAGACAAGAATGGTGTAAAATGGGGGAGAATCAGTCCTATTCCACAATGTGGAGCATTGCACTGCTGAAGGATGAATTTGAGTGTGCTTCCCATTTCAAAGAGTTGTGTATTATAACAGTGGTTCTCAATCAGGGGCCTTCATCAGTCTGTCTAGATATTTGCCTAGTTTTACAACAGGCTACATAAGAAACATTAGCGAAGTCAGTACAAACTAAAATTTCATATAGACAATGACTTGTTTACACTGCTCTATATACTATATACTGAAATGTAAGTACAATATTAATATTCCAATAGATTTAATTTATAATTATATGGTAGAAGTGAGAAAGTCAGCAATTTTTCAATAACAGTGTGTTGTGACACTTTTGTATTTTTATGTCTGTCTCTGTAAGCAAGTACGTAGTTTTTAAGTGAGGTTTAACTTGGGGATATGCAAGACAAATCAGACTCCTGAATGGGGTACAGTAGTCTGGAAAGATTGAGAGACACTGTATTACAAAGACTGTGGGCCAGATTGTCAGATGACAAAACTCAACATAAACTGGATGCTCAGGATCTGGCCCTATATACTTTGATATGGGAGCATCATTCATCTTGCTCCAGAAAGATGTCCTCCTACTCCTCATGTTGACTTTCTCCAGAAGGAGCTAAATCCACACTTCCTTAGTCAGAGGTTAGATAGATTTAGTGGGTAGTGGGCAAAATCTTGGTCCTTGTGCATATTATAGATAAGGTGTCTGTCTCTATACCCATGGGAACAGTTCATGGAGCACCTGCATAGCCCCTCTAGCCTCCATGCCTTGCTATGCCACTCATATGCAATGCCACCCATTCTCAAATCCCCCTTCAGAGGTGTGCTCCAGCTTGTAAGGTGTATGGAGGCCTATGCATAATGTTTGCTTTCTTACTTTCCCAACACAGTGAAATTATGCCAATTCTGATGGTGTTGGGATCTCTTGCAGCCCTTAGTTGGGCTTGATGAGTTGTCCATTCAGAATTAGTGTCTTCAAGATGTTGCATAGTTTCGATCCTCATTCATCACTAGTTAGGTTAATGCTCCTAATCAACAGAATTCGGAGGCAGTGACCAGTGTTGCTGGAGCCTTCAGCAACAAGCCCTGCCCTTTAGTTCAGGACACCAGTTTTTCTGCCTTTGATGGTGTAACAAATTGGCAGTTCAGCATCTCTTGACTATTTTATTCCTTCATTTTTGTGCAGTAATGTCTATGCTCTTTCTTCATTTTCCTCCTCCCCTGGATCTGTTTTTTGGCAGCCTGGTAGTTTCAATCACCTGGTTCTGCCAATGCAGCATCTCCTCTCTGGGACTCCTCTTTCCGTCCCGCACCCCTCCTCCCCTATGTATGGCAGAGCTATCCGGCCAACACTGGGCTAAATCTAAGCAGTGTTCTTGATCTGAGGCAGCATTTACAGGCTCTATAGAGGGTGAATTATGCCCTGCCTGTTCACAGCCACGTGACCCTAGCAGTGCTAGGGCACAGGGTTCAGAGTTGGACCAGCATGCCTGGTCCTCTCCTCTGCCCTGAGGAGCCATGAATCCAGTGCAGAAAAGCCTGTTCAGGAACTCCTGAGCATTTTTTTGAGGGAGTCTAAGGACACACTTTGGTTCCCTGAAGGGGCAAATCCTGCAACAGTCCCAGGTCAGTGGGTACAAACCCCTGAAAGGATCCACAGTCCCCTAGATACTGAAGTGGGTCCGGAGCTTCCTGACAAAAGAGCTTCTGCACAGCTCCCCTTCCTCCCACTGTGAGCCAGGAGATTTTTATGATGCTATGGAGTAAGTCTCTCAAACCTTAGATCTCTGGGTCCCAAAAAGGCAAAAGCAGATACACCTCTACCTCGATATAACGCTGTCCTCGGGAGCCAAAAAATCTTACCACGTTATAGGTGAAACCGTGTTATATTGAACTTGCTTTGATCCACCGGAGTATGCAGCCCGGCCCCCCCCGGAGCACTGCTTTACCACGTTATATCCGAATTCGTGCTATATCGGGTCGTGTTATATCGGGGTAGAGGTGTATTACCTTTGCAAGGCAGCAGTTAGTATTGAACAAGTGGCATGAAAATCAGGGCTAGATCCCTTCTCCTTTTCCTTGCCCTGAAGGAGTGTTTTTGGGGGCTTTTCTCACAGAAGATTTCTCAATGCTCATATTCAGCTCACTAGCCCTCCCCCACTCAGAAGCATGTAGAGAAGCCTGTTACTGCTGTGCCTGTGAAGCACTCCCTGAGGCTGCAGTGTAATGGAAATTGTACCTGTTTGGCTTTCAGCTCAGGGCCCCTTGCTCTGCCAGGAAAAGGGGCTTGGATTTCAGGCATCAGCAGAATGGGAGTTGTGCCTTCTGCTCATCAGCCAGGAACAGAGGCTCAGAGTCTAAGAGGCAGGAATGGGTCTCTCTCTACTCCTCCCCTGTTTCACAGGCTGGCTGCACATTAAACTGTAAGGGACATTTCAGGCTGACTGACCAGACCAGAGCCATATGAGGATTCCACTCTCCATGAAGCTGTAAATGAGAAATCTCCTCCAGTGTTCAAAACAACTCCTGATTTACTGAACAAAGCCCCAAATTTATTAGGTTGCTTCTTGGGTACTAGCCAGAGTGGAGAAGCAAGCAGGCAACCTTTCAGGCTTCTAGGGACCTCTAACAAGTTACTTCTACAATTAAATTAAGGTATTTGTACCAATACCCTTCCTCGGAGTGATCCTCAGGCCAGGATGAATAGCATGCTACCTCGCTCTGTAAACAACATGAGCAAATACTACACATGTGCCATCAAACACCACCCGCACCAAAAAACAAAAAGCCTGCAGGACTTTGCAGGACAGGATGCCAGTTGCTTGCAAGGAACTCATTAATAAAATATATTCCATTTCATGCATTATTAGATGCACAGTTTCCCATGGAAGCCTCTTTTGGGACATCTTAAGATCTGAATGAGGACTTCTGATTAAATCCAAATGTTAAACTAAACTGTGTAAAAAGAATTTTCCAAAGCTTGATGCAGAAGTAGCTCCACCAGTTACAGTCATGCCTTCAGAAGGGGACTTTCTTCCAAAAGACACTGAACAATAATTTCAAACTCTCAGCTATATCCATTCAGACCAAAAAATGTTCAGATATTTTAGTAAGGGAAGCCTACTAGGTGGCATGCAAATGCTACATCATCTAGGGGTATTATTTTTGCCTGGAGTGAAACATCCCTGGTTTTGTCTTGGTCAAACCCCGATGTGGTGTTGTGAGAAGCGCACTGGTTTCTAATGTGGTAGTTACAAGGAAGCTGTGACACATGTGAATAGCAATCAGTCATCCTAAACAGATACTTGCAGGTGAGCAGCTGTTTGGAGAAAAAGAGGAATTAGTTGCTGGGAATGCAGAGAAGCCTCAACCCTCACTTCAAAGCCAGCATAGCAATATGTTTGTTGCTATCAACACAAACACTGTCCAGGAAAGGACTATTTCCCCAGCAGAGCAAAATTTCTGAAGGAGGAGTTCTTCGAATGCTTTTTCACGTCCATTCCACATTAGGTGCATGCGCTGCGTGCACGAAAGTCGGAAACTTCTCCCTTAGCGGTACCCGGCGGGGCCCCCGCTGAGCAGCGCCACTGCGTCATGCATATATACCCCCAGCTGGCCCGACCCCCTCCAGTTCCTTCTTACAGTCCGTGGCAACGTTGGAACAACCTCTTGCTCTCGTATGAGAAGCAATCCCTTAGCTTTAGAGTACTTAGCTGCTATCAGTTCGTTAGCATTCTATTGTTGTGGACACTTAATAGATTAGGTGCTTGGAGACTTCCAGCACCCACCCCGGGCCGCAGGGCATGTCGCAGACCCAGCGGTTTAAGGCTTGCGCCATTGCCGCAAGCCCATGCCGGTTAGTGATCCCCA